TATTACATTATTTACATAAAGTATGGCTGTGCTGGTTAAATAGTTTATGTAAAATTATCACAGCAGTTAGTAGCATGCGATAAGCACGATATGAGTTTTAGTTTTAAATGTTAATATTGTTCTTCTCTAGCATTCAGATCTCATGATATGATTAATGTCCTTGTAAGAGGGGAAAAACAGAGACCCCTCTCTTTCCATCATAAAAAGACATAGAAGGTGGCCTTCGCAAACCAGAAAGCAGACTTTCAACAGACACCAAATCTTCCACCATCTGGATCTTGGATTTTCCAACCTTCAAAACTTTTGAGTATTTGTTGATCAAGCCACCCAGTCTGTGGCAGTTTGTTGTAGCCTCCTGAATGGACTAAGGCAGTCTCCTTTCTCCCACCAAAATGGGAAAGAGCATTCACTGAATATCATAATTCCCATCTACATCCAAAGGAACTGATAGCTGTAGACATCTTAGTATTTCAAGTGGTAGCATCAAATCTTTAAAAAAACTAGCATCCTAATATCAACTTCCCTAGGACTTGGGCTTATTTGTCAATGTTGTTTAGATCTCAGAAAGCTTCTTCCTTAAGCCTTCTGCCTCTCTCTACCACAGTTCTCAATAGTGAGCTTCCTTATCCTCAATCCATCATCACAGAGGTGTGAGAGGAAATTTCCTATCTATAATCAAAAGAAGGAAGAAACAGTATTTGGAGGGACATGTTTCCTATAGCAGGAAATCCCAAGCTAGCACTTCAGAACACGAGCCCTAAAGGAGTAGCAAGAGACCACCCCTACACAAGCCCTTAGGCAAGACATAGCAGAAACAAAATCCACAGGCTTACTGGACAGCAAAGGGACCAGCTCTGTGGTAAATAGGATAAATGCTACCCTGGGAGACCAAAGAGCCATTTCCAGACTACACCTTTTGCTATCTAGCTATATCACTAGGGAAAAGTGGCTATAAAATGGACATTTTATTGAGCATACACAACCAGTCAACTGAGCATTGGGTACATAGAATGATATATGTCATATCTCTATCATTACCATGTTAGAGGAGATTTGGGGACTAGACCTCCTCAAATGTGCATTTCTCTGTCATATTAATGAATTTGTGTTCTGTGTTCATGTTAAGGAGCAATCATGCTAAGGAGACTTAAGATACTTTGGAAGGTTCATTATGATCATACAAAGCTCTTGACCCTCTAGCCACAAGAGTCCATCAGTGAGTTTGTCTGCCGTGTTATATCATGCCTAACTTCAGGAGTTGCTCTTGATGCTATCTGTGCAGAGACGAGTGTCTGCACATGGAACTCAGTGGTGGCCACTTACTAAATATTATCCTAATGCACACTTGGGTTGTGTGTAGTCTAATGATACACTAGCCCTGAGCCTTTCATGTTAATTACTTTCTCTTGAAGATGTCAGGCAAAACTGCCCTTTGATCAGAAAATTCCATTCACTATTGCTGAAAATTCCTTTGACCTCTCTGTGTCCCCAGCTCACTTGGTCTGCTGATTATTATGCAATGGGTCTTCAAGTCAGCACTATATATTCTTTATTTTTCCATGTCATTTTTCACTTCCTTGGGTGTCACTGATTTTTCATGTATCTAAGGCCACTCCCATGAAATTCAGTACAAGTCTCCTCTTATAGGGATGCATGCAAGTAACAGATAAGAGAGCAAAGCAGTTCTTTCTGTTTATCTTTTCACAGGAAATTATTCTCAGCCTATGAATCAAAAAGAACACTTTAATGTTCTTTCTTCTCCAGCCCACCTTGTCACCTCCAGCCCACCCCTTCTGAAATGACGACAGTCTTTCCATCTGGTCTTGTTAACCCTTGGCTGAAAAAGCAAATTTTTCTAAGAGATTGATGCTTTAAGTGTAAATTTGGAGGTCTGCCTTCAGAGCCTGACAGGAATAAATAAAAAGACAAATTGTAGGTCTTTGGTTGTCACAGCAGGGACTCCGATCCTCACATCAGCTTTCTTGTCCTCAAATGTGCAAACTGCCTGAAAGACCAAGGTAATTGAAAAACAGGCATAAACCTCTCTGGTTCCTCTGATATTGATGGAAATTGCCTCCTACTGAGGTTGCTTTGTGGCTTAATGCTCTGAAAGAGAAACAGGTCATTCGTTTCAAATGCAAGAATTGAATACACTATAACTAGTCTATCAGGGAAATCTCAGGGGATTAGTAGGTAGCAGAACTGAGTGGTTGCTCAGTTTTTCCAATCCCATCCTAAGAATGGCCCAAACTCTCACCCAACTGTCATGTATATCTAAAAAGAACAAATAAAACAAAATTTAAAACGAAATAAATTTTTCAAAAAGATTTAATTGTTTTTAAAAAACCATGTTCAAACTCACTCCCCTCATTCTGTCTCTTCCCTCTCCACTCTCCTCTCTCCTCTGCTCTCCTTTTTTTTTCCTCCTCCCTTCTTTGTCCACCCCTTCCTACCTGAAGAGAGAAAGAGAAGTTGTAGATACACCTGAGCATTTACTTCCTTTTGTACCAAACTGTGCAGCATCTTAGTTTATCTTCCAGTTTATGGTGACCATCTACATTAGTTATTATGCTGGTCTCACAAATAATGCAAATGCCTATGGTGGGTCCTCTGGTTTGTCTCCCAAAGATACATGTGCTACAGGCTTTGTTCTCAGGGTGGCAATATTGATAAGTGCTGTGGATCTGTAGAAAGTGAGGCCCAGTGGGAGGCCCTTAGTTCATTGGGACATCCCTCCAAAGTCAAATCTAGGATCCCAGCCTTTTCTTTTTTTCTGTTTCTTGGCTCTTGAAGCAAGTAATTTTGCTCTTCCACAAACTCCTGCCATGATGTTCCACTCTCAGAGGAGGCCCAATTCCATATACTCACTCAGTTTTAGCCTAGAGCTAAAATAAAACTTTTCTCTTTATAAGTTGATTGCCTCAGGTATTTCATTATAGTAATGGGAGATGACTAATATAGTGGCTTGGCATACATGTGAATATGTGGGCATAAGAAATGTGGGTTGAAATGGAAAGGAAATATAGAGCAAATGATAATCCATGGAGCCCAAATATATTATTAATACACATCTTAGCCAACAGGAAAAGTGATTAATGATTTATGTGTGGGCACATAATAAGCTGTTTCAGTAAATACTGAGTAAAGCAGCTGCCTAGCAACTTCAAGCATGTACTCAACCATCAGATGATCTCACTGGTCTCCCATGAAGCTGAGGTTAGCCACAGTCTGCCCAGTCAAGGGGGAAGACTTCAACTGAGTTAGCCAGTTATCTAAAGCAAGATAACCCAGCGTTCAGGGGTCATTTTTCAGATATTCCTCCTCCTTGCCACTCCATACCTCACCTGAATATCAAGAACCCTCCCTCTGTTTCAAGGTAACTTCAAGGTAGTGATGGGGAGGGAAGTTACCTGTAGTTTGGATGGGGCTCATTAAACTTCAGGGCTTTGATAAGCAGAACTTTTGTTGTTGATCAGTTGTTGGGAAATGTGTGAGATGTCACAGGAAGGCACTCCCCAGTGCCACTGGGAGATCTTTAAGGCAGCCTGTCTGTCCAGGTAACTTATAGTGTCCACATAAATGGTGATAGAGGCATGTCTGTAGGATGTGCCTTGGTTCCCATGAAGCACCCTGGAACTAGGGATGGTAAATGCACCAATATCATCCTCTCCCTCTGTTCTCCCTTGGGTCCGGATGACTATCGCAGCACTGCTTTCAGCCATTTCAACTACCTCCCATCCTAGTTCACATGACCTCAGTTGGTCTGAGACAGAGAAAATGTAGGCAGAAGAGATTCTCACGTACCTTCTACTCTCTTTGCAATGAACTTTCATGACATAAATAATCCCCCAGGATTTCTTCACATCCTTCTCTTTAGGTGTTGAAGAACTTAAATTGGAAACTTCAAAACATTTGTAATGACTCCATGTTGAAAATGACCTTCTCCTTGCAGATCTGCTGCAATAATCCTAATACTCGCTGGGAAATTATGACTGAACCTCCCTGATTTGAGGAAAGGTCAGCAGATGTAATGTGAGAATGTTCCAAAGAGAAAAAGAGGCACAAAATTTACTTTTTCAAAAGAATATCTCTTTACAACTACATTCACTGTTTTCCTCCTTATCCAGTGATTTCTCATTTCTTTAGTTCTTCAGAAACTCTGTTAAAACTTCTTTCTCAAATCTCACAATTGTTAAATCTGCTACCAGTTGAGTCTGCTTTATCCAAAATGCTAAGGCACAGAATAGTTTCCAATTTAATTTTTTGTTATTTTAGAAGATTTGCATATGATAGTGAGATATTTGGGGGATAAGGCCCAATCCTAAGTACAAAATTTATTAACAATTCACCTACAATTTATGCACATAGACTGAAAATAATTTTATACAATAATTTTTTTGCACCTACATTGTGACTGTGACCTGTCACTTGAGGTCAGAAGTGAAATTTTCCACTTGTAGCATCATTTCAGAAAATTTCAAATTTGGGAGCATTTCAGATTTTGGCTTTTCAGATTAGGGATGCTCAACCAGTAATTTCTTTATTTCAGATCCCAATCTCTGATAGCATTTGATAATGCTGACCATATCCTCCATGTTAATTAGACATTGGAGGAGGTGATACATAATTAGTAAAAATCTAACTCTATTCTGACTTAAGTTGATAGGAGAAATTATTGGAAGGATACTGAGATAGCTGCTCTCAAATGTTTTCCTTGTTCAGTACTTCATCATGAAGTTTACATTCAGGCCTGGCATTTTCAAATCTATCCCCTACTCAGGAAAGAAAATAATCTCTGACACCTGCAGTTGACCTGTCTACATATTATTGATTTCAGTCAATTGAAACTTACCACCTTATAATGTCCACCTATGACATCTGCTTCTTCCCTCAAGAGATGCCTTGGTATAAAAAGCTACATCTGGATCAAACATAAAACTTCAGGCAAGAACCAAAAAAACCACTACCATTCCTCATGAAAATATTCTCCTAATCAAACATTATACAGATCAAAAAAAATCTCCTTTAATGAGTTCTTAATCCTTAATAATCTTCATTAAAGTTTTTTTGAAATGTATTTATCAGCATTAGAAAAACACGGACACAGTATTTGTATATAAAAACATTTTAAATTCTACTTCTTCCCACTAATTTTACCGCCCACATCTGCTTTTTCTGTTTTGATTTTTAAAAATGAATAAGAAATAAGTAGAAGACCAATGCTTCAAATTGCATACCTTTGGAAAAAATCTAGGAGTGTATCCACATTAAGGGAGACTAGTCTCAATTATGCATCAGTCAGTAGCTCAGACATGACCTGATACTTCCTTCAAAAACAGGGTGGAGATTGATTGCAGGTCTTGTTTTTCACACATACTAAAAAAAAAAAAAAAAAAAAAAAAGCCCCCAGGAAAAGACTGAATCATATTTGTTCTCAGACAAGAAAGCAGAAGGGGCCCTGTGACCACAGCATGATGAATTCCGTGCTGACATTTAAATGGTTCAATCTCCTGACAAGAACAGGAATCCCCACATGTGGCGGGGACTCAACAGGGTGAAGCGTGACATTACAACTCAAGATGGAAATAATTGTATCTGTCTTTTTTCATTCGAGGTCCTTTTTGTATTTGATTTCATTGAGGAAAGCCAACCTCTCTAATCAGGAAATTGTGTTCTGTTTTCCTAATCAATTCATAAAATGTGTTCTGGCCCATTGGCTGGGTCAGTCATACTTAATAGAATCACAGGGGATGGATGGAACATGCAAGTGTCTCTAGTCTAACCCTCTAATTTTACAGACAAAAATAGTCCAGAGAATTTTCCCCAAAACACACAACTAGCTCCTATAACGGCTCATTAATATTCTTCATCCTGTCCTTTTAAAAAGAAATAGGGGTGGGGGAGAGTATCTGGATTCAGATTTGGGACACAAAGGGTTTGTTTACACAGGTGGCTGAGGGTTGCTGTGGAAAATGTACACTGGAGAGGAAGGAGAAAGAAAGAATGTGTCTCCATGCTGGAAAAGTTGTCAAAGTGCCCAGGTGTGCAGATGTTCTCATTAAGCCCCAATGGCCTGCTGGATTCCACGCAAGCTGACTGATGTCTCCAGAGCCTACTGGGTTTCGGCAGCACAGGGCTTCATGCTGGTGACAGAGATGCTCTGCCCTCTGCATCTCAGGACGCCCGCCTCACACTCAGACATTGTCAGCTCCTTGCCGCTCACTTCCACACAGACACTAAACCCTTCTTCCTGGCACTCAGATGCTTCTCGGCAGACACATTTGCCACTACTGCCTGGAAAGATAAATGAGAGAGATTTAATGGCAGGCACACTGTGGAGGTGGGAGAATCAAAGCACGTTCCTCCAAAGTAATAGTGACTAGAGAGCTCCTGCCTTGAGGGGTACAATAAACTATCTCCTGGAAGAACAGTAGGATCAGGAAATTGAGGCATTTTGCTCCCCTCAGAATAAATGGGTTTTGAAGTTGATGCCAGGCTTTCTATTGGTTGGACCCACATGAGGCAGCTCTATCCAAGTCAAGAGCTCTCTAGCTCTCTCTTCACGCACTTCGCCATCCATGTGAGCCAGCAGACAAATACAATCCTTCGTTCACTGCCCCCCCAACCAAATGGAAAGACCTCAGCAAAGAGCAGAGTCGGGGCTCAGGTAGGAGAGAAGAGAATTAAATGGCATGGCACACAAAAGGTTATATATCCTATAAAATACACATAGAGAGCAATGAATTAGGAGGAAAGGAGTCTATATGGGAAAGGGGTGTGAGGGAATGTCCCAGTCAGGCGTCTCCAGAAGGAAAGTAGAAAGGTCAGCCAGTGGATGGTGGTGACAGCCAAACCCAAAATGACCCAGTCATGGCTACAGTTACATAAGTCATCATCTATGCTGAAAAACTAGGAGGGAGTGAGGGGAGAGGTGTCCAATGTGTGTGGTCTGGGACTAGGAGAGAACAAAGAGCTGATAGAAATCTTATGCAGTCCAGCTCCCAAATTTATAGAAACAGAAAGCTGGGGCAGAGACTTAGTTCCATTCACCCAGGCCTTCCTTTTTCACAATACTCCCCAAACCGAGGTGGGGGGTGCCATGCCCTTGGTAGTATCCAAGATCATTGAAAGTGCTACATGGACATAACCTCAGCAAATATTGAATCACAATTCAAGAAAGTAATTTCTTTTTCTATTCTCTTAAAATCCTTCTGATTATTTCTAGAAGAAAGTGTTAACTTGATGCCAGTATTTTTTTAACATCCTTCTAATACTTGCTAGACTCCCTTATCACAAAGAGAGAACATTATCAATACCAGAGCAGAATGTAGCCAAAATCTACAATTTTATTTTGGTCAACCATTTGTATTTTTATAGTTACCAAATATTTATGGTAAATTATACTTCCTCTTAAGGATGTAATTTATAAAATTTCTATTTTTAAAAATAAATTTTTATGTAAACGCTTTTAAAAATAAGACACAATATGGATAATACAAGGATAGAGAAAAAGTCATGAGAGTGGAATGGGAATCACCAAGATTTGGAAGAATTTTAGATTATCAAGAATAGATTCTTGTCCTCTTAGCTACCTGATCCAGACCCTTCTTCAGGGAGGGAAGTCAGGTGGGAAGTTCAAGGTCAACCCAGTCTGAATCCTTGACATCCTCAGGTATCTACTTTGATCCACTTCTAAACTAGAAACCATGTTGTTTAAAAGCTCAGTATTATTACTTTACACACACACACTTTTTTTGTATTTGTAGATGGACAGCATGCTTTCATTTTGTTTGTTTATTTTTTTATGTAGTGCTAAGTATCAAACCCAATGCTTCACACATGGTAGGCAAGTGCTCTGCCATGGAGGTACATCCCTATCCCTACTTTAGCCTTCCTATGTTACAAATACAAAATGCTCCTTACCATCACATTTTTCCCACAATGGACATGCACCACAAGCTTTCTTGGCTGAGGCAGGCAGAGTACAGCGGTCCCTACCAGTAAGAGTATAATTTCTACCCTGACAGTGAAGAACATGCAACTTGCAAACTGTCAGAGGCAGTATCCGTTGGCTTCTCTCATCTCGAGCACATACATCCAAGGAAGATCTGAAAAGAATTTTTGACTACATTATTTACAAGATTTTTGTTTTTAAAAGCTGAGGAAAAGAAGTAAAAAAGTAGACCTTTGAGGTCATTACCCCACAGGTTATTCACCCACAGCAAAAGATGAAACATCAACTCAAATTCTTTTCATTGGGACCCAACCACCTCAGAGCTTCAAAATGAGCATATTTACTCTAAGCATTCACAATCCTTCCAAGCATAGATACTGTGGGTTGATTTATTTTCAGCTAGGACAGATCAGATATAGCAAATTAGATGAGAAGGTGAGTTATGCCAGCAACTGTCAATGAATCAATAATAAAGGAGACAGAAAATCAGCAAAGATCACTCAGAGAGATTATAGTCAAATGAAACCATTGACCACAGGAGACATTAACTCCTCCCAGCTCAGCAGCCCAGAGATTTCATGTTCATAATACAGCATGTCTAATAATTAATAACCCTGAATCATCAAGGGAAGATAAAACTGTATTTTACAATGCTATTTTCTAAAGTGTCTATGTTTACAAAGTGCTTTAGAAATATTTCAAAAAGTGTGCTACCTTTTTTCTTAAACATTAGAGCTAAAATGGTAAGAGGCAGCTATTTAGAAATGTCACCAATGAAAACAACTACATTTCTAAATACTGACAGATAGATAAGAAAAGCATTATTTTGTGAAAACTCAGATAACAAAACATTTTTCATATACCATATGGGCTCAGAAAAACTTTACATTCACATATTTTATTTAGCTCTGATATTTTCTTCTTTTTTTTTTTTGACCTAAAGCTCAATTTATTTAAAGTTGCTTATATAACAAAAACTTTTTTTTGTTTTGTATATAACTTTTTTCTCTGTTTATTTGAACTTTAAATAGAACTACTCAGAACAGCTAAAAGGGCAGAGACCTTATAATGCCACCTTATTATCAGTATCTGATACTGTGAAATGATACAAAAACTCATATCAAGTCTATAAATGGCTGGCTGCTGATTAACTAAAGGAACCAGTAGAGTTGGAAAGAGAAGGAAAGTGATTAACAGAGAGTAATTAATAACAACAGAGAGTAACAGCAAGAGTCAGAATGTATCTGGGCTGACCACCATTTCCACTTATACATTCAGTTATATTCTTCTGCACCAGAGGTTACTACACACAATCATTGTATGAATCACCCACAGTAGGTTCAGGAAGTTCTATATGGGTGCTGATGACCATAGTAATTGAAAACCAAGTAATTTGTTGGTAGGTTAGTGTTTCAATTTTTAACCTTAAAGATGGCCCATGAGCTGAGGAGCTAGATATTCCCTGATTCTTCCTAGACCCTCCACTCTTCCCCATCTGCCTGGGAGGCTGGCATGTAAAGGTTACACTTCTTTGTCCTCTAGCTTCAATTGGGTTTTATCAATGGAGAGCCCTGGTATAGGCAGGGAAGAAAGTGAATTCAGCTGGGGTATTTATTCCACTGGCTCACTCCTGTAAGACCTCCTAAGGTCTCTTAAAAGAGAGTCAGCTTCTCCTCTGCAGCCATCTCACCTAGTTCTCTCCGTCTCCAGGTTTCATAAGTGCTCCCCTCCTCTTGCCTTATCAGTCCTAGAGTGGACACGTGGCCAAGCCTTACCAGTCCAGGAGTACTGCCCTGTGGCTTCTAGTTTCCTTTACTCTGCCCACAATTTTGTAAATCAACCTGCTAATAAACCTCTTCTTATCCTAATCTAATTGTGCTGTCCGTATCTTACTAGGACCCTGACACAGGCATCTAACAACATCTAACTAACAACTGCAGATGCCCTGGGACAACAGCATGATTTCAAGCTGGCAGCATTCTTCTAATGCAAATCTAGAAAGCAAGCTTCAAGAATCAGAAAAGTAGCTGCTCTTTCTCCATCAGTATTGCTTTAAATTTTATATCCCTAGGGAATTTCAGCCTAATCATCTAAAGCTCTAAATCCTCAGGTGACAGTTTTGTCCTTTCGCTCAATTCTATGTATAGAGCAAGCCATGCTCAAATAGTCCTTCAGCCTTTCTCAACTAGCTTAACACCATAGCTGTCAGTCTGGTGACCCTGGTGAGTACCAGGGAGGAAAAGACTGGATTAAAATGCAAACAAACACAAACATCCTTAACCCTTAGTAAACTGCACCTTCAATACACAGACACTAACACCTAAGAGATCACCTCATTTGTCTTGGATAAAATAAAACAGAAGGACAGAGCTTACCCACATTCATAGGGCATTTTACAAACACATCTTGAATTCTGCAGTTTCTCCCAGCGCTGACATTTAGGCACTGCCTGTGTTAAAGGGGTGTCTGAAAGAAGAAACATAAGGGAGATGAAATTATCAGGGAAGAAGAGCATCTTCATAGTAAGCAAGGCTTTTTATTATTGTTGTTGTTGAACTAGAGTCTGTACTATTCTCAGCTGCAAAGGGGTTCTATGGTAAGCATTAATAATAAAACTATAGAGCATTTTACAAGGGGAATGCTCTACAAATAATTACATTGGTGATAATCGCTACCATTTCTTGAGCATTTACACTTGGTCATGCACTTTTTAATACACTGTGATATTTAATCCTTCCTAACAACAGTGAGTAAATGTTTGGCGGTAGTTACATTAAATAAGATTCTATCTTTTATCTTCTAGAAACTGATAGCAAACTATCATTCTGATTTTGACAGAACGATACCTTGGTCCAGTTTACAAGAGCCTACATTGACTGCCATCACCTTGGCTATAGCCAATTGCAATGTAAATCATCCAAAACAACCTGATTTTCCCACTTCCTATCAGCAATGGAAGTCAATGGAATGTACTTTTGCTCATAAAACTAGATATTCATTTTACAAATCTTAAAGATAGTTTATCAGAAAATCATGCCTTTTTAAATACAAAAACAATGGAATATTTCTTTTTGAAAATTTTAAAAGATTTAGACATGACAGTACAATCTTGTGAACAATTCATAAATTTGGAAAAATGGTAATAATATGAAGCATGCCCACCAGGATCAGAAATCTCAATTACAAGTACTCATTCTTTAAACACTTCAATTCTAAATGGTATTATCCTAAGTGCAATGTAGTGTCCTGAATTGGATCCTAGAACATAAAAAGACATTAGAGGAAAATTAGTTATATATGAATAATGTGTGTAATTTAATCAACAGTATTGTACTAATACTAATTTTTTACTTTTAATCAACTGTTATTTCAAGTGACGTAAAAAAAGAAAGATGAGAAAATGGTATGTAGAAACTGTATTTGCAACCTTTTTGAAATCTAAAATTATTCCCCCTCAAAAAATGTTTTTTAAAATGATGTTTTCTGGATCTGTGCCTTTCAACCAGGGAAGGTTTTGTTCCAGAGGCACATCTGACAATGTCTAGAGGCATTTTTTATTGTCACACTGAGGAGGAGATGCTATTGGCATCTGGTGGGTAGAGACCATGGATGCTGCTAAACAGCACAGAACACAGGACAGGCTTCCACAACAGAGAATCACCAGGCCCCAAAGCACAATGGCACTGAGGCTGAGAAATCTCACTAGAGATATACCAGAACTAAAGTTCATGACAAAGCCATGGGAATCAGCTCTGCATTTGACCAGAAATTTATTTTAGAATAAATTTTGAAATTTTAGATATCATGTGATTACCAAAAGTTTTTATAATTTCTTTGTTAAAAAAAAAATCTCTGATAGGATCACCTAGACCAAAGACTATTGCATTTAAGAAGAACATAACTTTATCATCATAGCTTGGCTAACCTATAAATACTCTTAGAGCACATCTAGAGTATGTGCCTTTGCTCACATCAAGATATCCTCAATGGGAATGGGGAAATGGGAGTTACTGTTCCATGGATACAGAGTTTCAGCTGAAGGAAGATGTAAAGATACTGGAGATGGAGAGTGGTGATGATTGTATTACAGTGGGAATGTATTTAATGCTACTGGTCTACACATTTTAAAAATGCTAAATGGTTAAGCCTTATGCATGTTTTGCCATAATAAACAAGACTACTGAAACAGCTGATTTTACTTATTTTTAGTTGATATTTTAAAATACCAACTTCAGAGGATGACAAACCTGGGATTTTTTGTTTTTTTTTGTTTGTTATAGGCTTATTTTAAGAATAGTTTCAGAAAAACATACAGGTCTGAAAAACATCCTTAATTAAAATCAAATTAAATAGAATTTTCTCTTGAGTGGGAGAAAATTCATACTAAATTGTGCTAAATTGTGCTATGAAATGACTGAAGCATACACTTCAGAATTGCAAATATATAACCTCCTTGAAACAAAACTGCAACCTCATCAACTATATATTGTTCCCTTTCATTTTAGAATTATGGCTACAGGTGTATTGCTTTATATATCCCAAATGAACTCATATTTATGCCTCAGTGTGTGTAGAAAACAAAGCAATCATCCTCTAATGTGGGGCTCTGATAGCTAAAGAGCACATCAGATTGGCATGGAGGGCACTCCATTGGACCTGTTCTGCTCCCATCCTCCTGTCCATCGCCTGTCGATCATTACAGCCCATTCCCACCATTCAGAGCAGAGCACTCCCTGCGGCTTGTGCTCTCTTTTTGGTTACAAGCATCTAATTCATCCTACACTATCACTTATGGAATCTAGTACTTCTTCCTCACTAAAAAACAAAAATTGAAAAAATAATGGAAAAAGAAAGAAAAAGAGTGGGTATGAATCCATGCAAATAGAAGAGAGGTCAGTAGAGTAGAAAGGGAATTAAGGGGAGGAAGAAGGGTCAGGAAAAGAGAGGAACGGTAGAATGAATGTGACCAAGCTTTCCTATGTACACATATAAATATACCACAGTGAATTTCACTATTACGTGTATTCACAATGTACTAATTTTAAAACACTATAAATAAATAGAAGAAAGAGTAGTAGAGGAAAGTCAATGGGGAAGGGAGGAGGGAAAGTAACAGAAACTGAATTGGAGCAATATTCCATGCTTGTGGAATTATGCCAAAATGAACTCCAATATTATGTATAATGAAAATGAATTAATAGAAAATAAAACAATAAAATAAAATGGACCCCCCAAAAAAGAAAATTTCAGCATTAAATTAAAAGTCATACACTCAAGAATGATACATTATAAAACAGCATTCAAGTGAGTTGTCCCTCTTTCCTGTTTTGAATTGTTAAAAAATATATTTCTATTTATTACAATGCAAACAAAGAAGAGAGAGAAAATATTTTAAAATAAATCCATTTCATCTGGAATATCTCTTAAAAAATAGTTTGCTTCTAAATCCTTTTCTACCTTAGGTTCTCAAAAGAACGTTTTAATTTGCCCAGCATTCAAAATACTGATTTTTTAAATTTCCACTATTAAGGACAACTTCACAAACCACAATATTTTTACTTCAATCACGGTTGTGTTACCGAGTTAGATGTAAATATTTTTAAATTTTCAATTTCAATAATGCCAATAAACTCTCTGAGTGCCCAGAAATGAAATATACAGAATTTTATATAAATTAGTACTTAAAATCTGTACTTAATAAAAGTACAGGACAAAAATCAGAAGGAAACCAAATATTAGCTTTTCAAAAATCTTTCATTTTCTTGGCACCTTAATGGCTATAAAGTTAATCCTTCAGATGGAGGATGTAAGTTAAATGTTTTAGGATCTCCAGGGCTATCCTTGCTTGCCCTTGCATTTCCTAAGTCTGTGTGTGCCATCTGAATAACTATTACACAGTCTACAAACTGACTTCCCTCTCCTAGTGGGCAACAGGAAGGGAACAACTCACAGTGATGGAGGTACAGAACCAGGAAGGTCTCCACAAGGACCCCCACTCATCTTGAGTGCAGGGGTCCTTGAGTAGACACAGAAACTACACACCTTTTTGCACACACTGGACATTCTTCATCTCAGGACTCCACTTGAGGCTGGAGCCACAGAGAAATGCTGAAGGACCTTCTAAGGACATGCCACCTGAACAGGAGAGAGTCACCTTCTCGCCAACTGAGTAGAACGGTTTTTGGGGTTGACTCTGTATGCCATTCATCAGTTCCGGTAGGACACAGGCAATCTCTAAAAATAAAAGAGACCAGCATACTGGGGTGATTGCTTTCCTAAACCATCTTTTTAAAAACGGTCTTAAAAGGTGCTGATGCTCTGCTTTTTCACATAAGAGGACAAAGAGGAAGAAGTGAGCTCATTGTTACTGTGCTCTGAAAGTCTTGCCCCATGGTGCCTGCCATGTAACTGACCAGTGAATGACAGAAGACCAAAACATCTATCATCTTTTCACCCTGCCCTCACAGCAGTGGAACAACTTGAAACGAATTAGTCTACAAATAGTCTTCAAGCACAGTCTGCTGCAAAAACCAGACTTTTCACAGCTGACATTAACTCTCTAGTATGGTGATGTCCCTCCAGAATTTTCCTAAGAGTCATATACATCAGTTCTAATTAGACATATTACTACCTAAAAATTGTAAAGCATCACCTTAATCTGACAACCATAAAAGTATTCAGTGTTTTTTGGTTTCTCATTCCTGTTCTTCCTTACTCAATTATATCACTGGCTCAAATCTTCTACTTTAAATAAAAAGCAGAGAATAATGAGAAATATGCATAGTTACAGAAAGCAGGTCAGCAATCATGATTTTAAAAAATTTTAGCAATCTCCCTAAAGGATTTTAGACAATATTCTAAAAAATACTGCTCTGCTTCGGCACTATTTTCATCAGAAAACCCATTTATTTATTCAAAATGGCATTTATTGAGCACCTGCATTTTGCCAAATATGCTAAATATTTATGAAAAGGCAGCAAAATATAAGTCACATATCAGATTTTCAAGAAGCTAATAATCTGGCATTAGATTTATTTTTGGCATGATATATTTGCTGGCTTCACAATCCTTCTTCTAACAAGACAAATATGAAAGCTATATAAAATTAAAAAAATAAACACTTCTGAGAGACTCGAACAGGTATCAAAGCAAAGCTAATGAAATATTTGAAACAACAAAAATCGACCAAAATACAACAAAAAGACAATAGAAACAAACCCATGGAGATAAAGATAATAAAATTAGCAGATACAGTTCTTAAAATAATTAATATGTTGAAAAAAAACTAAATGGCAGGATGAAGAATTTCAGCAAAGAATTTAAAAGTTTAAAAACTAGAAAAATGTTACATCAGAATTGAAAAATGAAATTAATAATTAAACAGAGTTCATAAAAGTAAATTATACACAATTACACGGAGAATTAATAAACTGAAAGATAAATCAATGGAAAATATTTATGATGAAACAGAAAGAAAATGGAAAACAAAGAAAAGTACAGATATAATTCCTCAGACTCTGGTAGAAATGTATATCGGTACAAGTGCTTGAAAGCCTAACAGCATCAACTAAATCTCATGTTTAATACATGTTTACCCAGTGTATTCTTATCCATTGATTCAGAAGTTCCACTAAAGGGTACATTTCCAAGTAGTAAATGTACACGTGTGCACTACGGCTTTCTTCACAGAGAATACCACAACCAATTCACAAAAAGGCGTCCCTACAACTCTGTCTATCCATCTGCTGAACAAACACCTCCTCTTTGGCTCTAGCTGAAATAAGAGCCCAGGAGTAGATATAGAAGGGTACAATATGCAGATGTTCTTATTCACATGCCTGTATCTGAACAGAATAGGGTCCAAAGCATGTAAAGAAGTAGATTGATAGTAACTGAACTCTAAAAAATGTACTGATGATCTTAGCCTGAAAGCTCCCATAATTCTAATTTATATCAGAAATTTCAAAATTGCAATAAAATTGACCCCACTGAACAGGATCATTTCCAGCTGGAGATGGCTAAGGGCTTAATCAAGTTACTTATGAAAATTGAACAGGATCATATAACCTTTCAAGAAAAGGATTTCAAGACATAGGGCATATGGTGAGTATTTATTTATCTTGATTCATTTTCTCCCACATTATTCTCTCATCTTGAGTTATATACTACAATCTGGGTCACTTACTCTGACAATACATTTCCCCGACAAGCCACTGTAAATCTTCTCCACATCTGGCAACAGGGTCTCCAACAAGAGAGTATCCTTCATTGCAAGTGTAGAGTATCTTTTTCCCAACAGGAAACACAGTACCTTCCCCCTAAACAAAAATAAAAGATGGAGAGAGGTAGAGTTTGTCTATGTTGCATTAACAAAATGTTTCTGTTGTTTATTTGGTCTATAAATTATAGCCCCTTTTAATCATCAGAACCTACATTCAAATAACTGATTTAGAAAATTGTCTCTAAGGCATTTTCCCCAGAATCATCCTAATCAACTATACTAGTACCATCACTAATTGAAATAAAACCATAAACATCAATGTTCTATAAAGTATTGATTGCTCCCAAAATACCAAGTGCTGTTCTAAGCATTTCACTAAAATCACTTGAGAGGACACTGTTCAAGAAACTTCTTTCCCTAACATGTTTAGTAAAAGATAGTTTGTTACTGGATTTTGGAAGTGTCTTTGTCCATAAGCTCTTCAAATGGTAAGGTATTACAGGCTATTCCTTGACAATGCTACCTAATAAATGACAGCATAAGTCCACAGAATCCTTTCTTCCTGAAGGATTCTGTTTCTCAAATGTTCAAATCCTAGCAGAATCTTCATGAAGGTTTAACTTTCTCACTGATGACTTTTAAGCAAAGCATAATGGTGATCTTCTCCCACCCCAACCTCTTACTTCACACTATAAGCACAGAAATACTGCTGTGGTTGGATCAGATTCAAGGATGTTTTGCAAGCCTAAATGCCAGGAGGTGAAGCAAAGAATTTAATATGTGAACCTTGAGAAGATAATTAGGATCATTTGGGGTCCTTCTTTGTTTCTTCCCTTACCCTCTCAGGTTCTGCCATCCAGGAGAATGATGGAGAAACTGAGGTATACAGGAGGGCTTGGAGCTGGTACCTAGACCAGCTCTGCCTTAGGGATCAGAACAAAATGTCCTGGTACCTCCTTCTTTTATAGGGTCTACCCTATAAAATCAGAAAAGGTGGCAGACAGGGGCAAGCAGCAATCCCTATCTTTAAGTTCTCTGGAAGATTCTTTGTGGCCAGTCTATAGAGCAATGTTTAGAAACCATGGCTCCTTGGGTACTACATGCACTGGAATTTGGGATGCCAACATCTTCATGGTTCTAAGGCATATGAGTTTGCTTGGCCTCCTTTGAAAGTGTTTCACTCAAGAACTCCAAGGATTGTGGTGGCCACAGGGAGACAAAAGGGGCATTAGAGATGCTATGGATGGTGATGGAAATCATTATACAAAGTACATGTATGAAGACTCGAATTGGGTGTCAACATACTTTATATATAAATAGAGATACAAAAATTGTGGTACATATGTGTATTAAGAATTGTAATTCAGGACTGGGGTTGTGGCTCGGTGGTAGAGCGCTTGCCTAGCATGTATGAGGCACTGGGTTTGATCTTCAGCACCACATAAAAATAAAATAAAGGTATTATGTCCACCTACAACTAAAAAATAAATGTTAAAAAAAAGTTTAAATAAAAGAAATATAATGCAAAAAAAAAGAACATGTATAAAGGCATTAAAAAAGAGAGATGCTAAGTAAATATTCTCACTCTCTCTAAATTGGGGGAAACTTCAGGAAACTCTCCAGCTCAAGGGCCTAAAATTTGAAAAAAATGGAATCCTTCATGAAGAAAGCAAAGCTGGTTGTATTGACAGCATCCTGATGAACAGTATCTCCTGCGTGAGTCATGAAGAGACTCCACTGGGATTCGGAGCCAAGGTCTCATCATAAGAAAGACTGAGAACAGCATCAATTAATATGGTTCTAAATCCAAGTAAAATCCCTAGGATGACAAATGCAAGATGACTAGTGTTCCTTTCTGAACAAGAAAATTGCTCAAATTAAAATGATACATATCTCACCAGACACTAGCTAAATGTTGTACTCCTGGAATAAACCTAACACTTTGTGGGCTGGAAATGTAGCTCAGAAGCAGAATGCATGCCTAGCATGCACAAAGTTCTGGGTTCGATCCCCACCACCACAAAATAATAACAATAATAATAATAATATTTCATCCAGGCCTCACATTTTTAATGCCTTTACATGAATTTACTCATTTCCTGTTTTTTTCTGTATTTTTATTTATATGGGGTGCTAAGAATCAAACCTAGGGCCTCGCATATGCTAGGCAAGCACTCTACCACTAAATCACAACCCCAGCCCCAAGCCCAATATTTTAAAAAATTTTCTCAGTGTAAAGAATAATAAAAGTTCTGTAAGTTGGAGAACAGGCTTGTAGATTCTTAATATCAGAGTGGCAATATGGAGTAGCCCTCTGGCATAATTGTGTTTCAAATTCAGGGGGTGGCAGTGTTGATTTCCCACACCACACTAAGTGTGTATACTGCCTTCTGCAGTCTGAATCACCTTGGTTCAAAGAAGGAAAGCCACAAACTAAAACCTTCACCACTAAAACTAAAACACATATATCAGATATTTTGAGCACTATTTCACCATGGAAGAAGGAAATAAATTATGGCCCTATAGAAAAGTAGAACTTGGAATATTATAAAGGAAAAAAATAGCTTTCATAACCAACTTGAACAAATCCATCTTTTAAGGCAGGAGGTGATGGACAGAATTCTTTAGGAACTAAAGATACAGGAAAGCAATGTGGTTCAAGCAATCTGAAAGAAAAAAAAAGAAACAAAAAGTGATTAATGTGATTGATTTCCAGAGCTTAATGAATATTTTGCACTATATTGAATTTTTCCTTTATATCCGAAGGTTTGTAAGTAGAAAGTACAAGTATGTTCATGTGATGTTTTTGTCATTCTCAGAACCAAACATCTGATCACATCGTACGGTGTAAATTCAAACATTAACTCAGTTTAACAAAAGACAGTAATTTAAATAACCTCATGATTTGCTGTATGAAAAAAAGAAGCAGAAAGAAATAAAAGTCTTTGGACCACACACCTACTTTACAGGATTTCTAGAGGTCACCTGTGAAATGACCTTATTTTTCTCCTACCCTTGGGTTCTAAAATTCCTTTAACATAGAACTAATACTGTATTGGAAAATAGTAATTAGAGTTTAGTAAACCCAAGGGAAAGGTAACACAGAATTATAATAACTTCTCTTATTGAGCATTTACTATGTGGCAGACACAACAGCAGCTTCTTTATACACCTTCATTATCTCAATTCATTCAGCAACACCTGGAGTATAACAAAGGCACAGAACACTTGAATATCTTGTCCAAGGTTACAAACTAATAAATGCCAAGGTTGAGTTCATTTGTGTTCAGTCAGTGGGGTTCCCGCAATCATTCTCCTTCTTCCTCTTAAATGAAAATAAAGGACAATGGGGTCACAGTGTCCACGTTGTTTTATGAACCATGTAACTCAGAACATTCTTCGGCAAAAGCAAGTTTTGTGAAGATTTGAGGCCAGAACTCTGAGCCTAAAAGGAAGATGGAGGAACAAAGACACTACTATGTTCTCACCAATGCCAGTCCTGACAATTTACCATAACCAGGATTATCTCTAGGGGCAGGGTGTAATAAGGATAATGATGACATTCATCATTAAACAGAGGATTTCAACAGAGCCTCTGAGGGCAACAGACCACAGCAGAGACATGAAATCTGTGCAATACAGATAGCCTGTGGGTGCTGCCTCCTTCTCAGCTCAACTCCTGTCCTTTTGTAGCACGCTGAGGAAACACAGAAATGAGAAGTATTGATCAAAGATTTCCTTCGAGGCCTGAGAAGGAGGATACTTCTCTGAACATGAAGATGAGTGAAGTTTCCTTCAGTGCCTCACTTACGATGTTCCCTTCCCTTCAGCTTTATCTCTAAAGCCAGGGGAAATAAATCCATCAGGCAGAGACCTCCTCTCAGACCTTCATCCTCCCTGAGGGACCTACTCTGAAGCCAACATTCTCTTCCCACCATAATCATATGCTTCCCAGCTTTCCCAGTCAAGAGATACTGGCTATAGTTGGATTACGAGGCATGAAGACCTAGGAATGAGGTATCCATCCACAAAAACCTTGCCTCTTTAATTCAAATGACCTTCAAATTATCTTACTAGAACCGTCTTCTCACTCCCTGATCAGAAGAATTTACTAAAGATGGCAAAAAACAGTGGAATATGGCATAAGGATCTTTGACCCAGTACACAATGGCTTAGTTGACTAAGCACTTTTGAGATGGCATTTGCAATGATCTCGCAAATGTAGACTAAGTGTCGGGTGACCAGCAGGCTAATCAGTCAAAATATCCACCTCAGACATCTGGCTTTATGTTTAACCCAAAGAATAGCTAAATAAGAAAGAGTAGCATCTTTGAAAAGTGATACAATATTTATTGAATGTTTACTATGTTCCAGGCATACTGATAGCTTTACATGCTTCATCTCCTTCAATTCTAACAGCATCCTATTATAGATTTATCTACTACTATTATTCTCATTTTAGAGATGTGTAAGTAACTTGCCCAAGGTCACATAGCAAGTGTAGTGTGTAGATGGCAAATCTGCATGATGCCAAAGCTACCACTTATATCTGCTCAGCTGGGCTGCTCCCAGCTCTGGGTTAACCCTAATGTCAGGAAAATCTGAAGCACACAAGCACAAGGGGGCCATTTCTCTCTCTTTCACCAAGTCCAGTGCCAGGAAGCTAAGTAATCACGAATAAGAATCACCACCTAACATCTAAATCTTTTGCTGGCAGCCATCACATTGTCCACACTTACTGCAGAGGATACTGTTCTACACAATTGCCCAGAGATCTGATCTCCATTACCGTAAATGCTCCAGCTCCTCATCTTGACATTGCCTGCTCTCAGTAGTTTCTCCAACACAGGACTTCCCACCCCTGCTGGGAGGTGGGTTATTGCATTCCCGGTTCCTTGCTTTCTTCCCTTGAACACAGGGGCCCCAAGAGGACCAGCAACTCCAACCGCCATCAACCCCGCCTGTATGATAAGGGAAAAGCTCTTCAGTAAGTTCTTGGAGAGGAGGACTTCAGAGCTTAATGCTATGCTTCTTGACAGTATATTTGCTAAGGGGAGGGACAATTGTGGCAATTGACTACTTCTGTTCTGTTCAGTGAGGGCTTTCTGCAATGGCCAGAATGGCTCTACACCGACTTGGAATGTCCATATTAAAGCTGCATTAGTGGACTCCTTGTAATTATATCTTAAATATATTGATTATATTACAAAACTGTTCTAAAGCACTTCCATGGACAATGTATCATTTATATACTTCTCACAAAAACAAGTGGAGGTGGGCAGGAGGTTGTTATTATTCCCACTATTGAGACATGAACTCTAAGGCAAAGTGGCTAAATGCCATGCTCAATGCTGTAATGGCTGTCAGGAGCCACATCCAGACTGTACTCTGGTCTTCTGGCTGAGTGCAGGATTCTTCCTCACCCCACAGTCTCTCCATAAGGCAAGTAATGTCCTACAGTTAAAGCACTGGCTTGGCATGAAGAGAACACAGCCTTTTGGGTCCTCCCAGTCTGCCAACCCTAGGCTGGCACTGTACAAGATGAGGAAATGAATCAAACAGAAGAAATGCTTTTTTTTTTTAAGAAATGCTTTTAAATCTCCATTTTGCCTCCCATCAGTATTCTTCTCCAATCTGTAGGTACTTCTTCAACCACCCTACCCACAACCATCCTGCCTTAGAGCCCATTTAAGATTCAGAGTTCTTCTAGTGCTTTCCCCTATCGTATCCCTGGGGGTGGGGGGGATGATATCCTATCTCACATTCTAAGAGCCTTGATTTCCTACATAGACATGACCTCAGAAACCATTCCCTTGAACGGTTGGATCCTGACAACGACTGGTTCCTGACAACGTGTGAGTGTGCAAGCGCGTGTGCTCACACTGCTCTTCAGCTACTTCTTTTTGTGACCACTTTCCTCTTCTCCCAACCATATCTACTCCTCAGTATCACACACACCAAAACTAATCCAATTTGTATGATATTTTCCAATGGTTTTCCTTACGTTGTCCTAATTAGAATTTATTTAATAAAGCAGCCTCCGGAGTATGTCAATATAGAGTAACAATCGCTCGAAACGTTGTGATCGCTACTCCAGTTCTTACCAGCAGGGGGTGCTCCAATTTCAACAGACACTGGAAATCAAAGCCACTGAGGAAAGCATCACATGGTGGAATTTCAATTTACCAGGACAGGCCACTTAGAGAGCCATTTGAGGACAAGCATATCTTCCTGATGTTTGTCTATACATAACCATTTGTTTAGTCATGTATTTATTCACTTATCATTTATTTAATGACTCCTAGGAATCAGTCTTATATCAGGAATAAGGAAAGGAATCAAACTTCCCTAGGAATGAGTTTTCTAGAGGTGAGAGACATACAAATACACAAAAGAATAAAAATAATTATGTTTAAATTGTAGTCATACTTTGACTACTCATTAAGTCAACTTCACATAGCCCTGTACTACGTACTTGAAACACCACCCTACTGAGCACACAGCAGATTTTCAACAAAATTTGTGAGCAATTGACTGATGATACATAATACAAAACAGAAGTAAAGATGTTTCAAAGAGCTTGGTGTCAGAAAGGTTAGGCAATGCAAACTCAGTCTCCATAGGCCAATGTTACAACAAAACCTTTTTGAGATAATTATAAGAAAATGGCAGGTATTTTATCCATAATTTTATTCTAATAGAGAATGGAGAGTAGAGGGCACAGTGGTATTGTTAATTCAGGTGGGCAAAAAGAGAGATAGCAGAAGGTCTTAACTGCAGACCCTTTTTTTAAACCGGGAATGAAAAATGGAGGGAGATTAACTCAAATGTGATTTCAAATGTGGTCACAAAAAGAAGTAGCAAAGAAGCACATCAGGAGCCAAAGAGAAAAAGTAATACTGTTTTCAATGTGTCCATCCTAAAACCAGGGAAAATTCAGCACACTGACCTGCTTGGTTCCCTATGAGGACTCCTTGCTCACAAGCCACACCAAATGTATATGGTTTGCAATGGCACTGACACTGGGTCTCCCCAACAGTGGCCAAACCACCATTTTGGCAAGGCCGGCAATGGCAGGGGTGGAATTCATCCAAATACTCTTCAAGAGCCCGCTTCAGGTACAGTCTTTTCACAGATGCACAAGGTACTTCCTTTACCAGCTCATATATAGGTGTCAGCTATACAATGAAGACATTCTAGTCAGTGCTCAGAACTTTAGGTGAGAATGTTTTCCTTTTTACCCATGGGCACAATCTCCACTGAAACACAATCAAAAGCCACCCTTATGTCTATTTCTGTAGTTCCCCTTATCCACAGGGGCTATGTTTCAGGGCCCTCCTGTGGATGCCAGAAATCACATATAGTATCAACCCTGTATATATAAGTTTTTTCTTAAACATTCATACCTAATTATTTTAATTTAATTTATAAATTTATTTTATCTTGATTTACCTAATTTAATTTATAAATTAGGTGCCATAATAGAGAAACAACAATAATTTATAATAAAATAGAGCAATTATAATACTATGCTACAATAAAAGTTACTTTAAAATTATGAATTGTTTATTTCTGAAATTTTCCATTTAATATTTTCAAACCAACATTGATCTGAAGCTGAAACCAAGGAGAGTGAAACTGCAGACAAAGGGGACCACAGTACAATATTTTTTGTTCAAATAAAAAAAAGAAAGCAATTCACTGTCTTTGCAACACAATCAAGATAAACCTAGGGAAAATTAGAATCAGATAGAGAAGAAATATTTTTATATCTTGTGTGTATGCATAAAATTAAAAAAACAGAACATTCATTTTCTAGCTAATGGAAGATGATTTTGAAAATAATATATCACCACCCCCTTAGAGGACAGAAGAAAAGGAAATGCACTTAAATTACAGCAAAGAAGCAAGTACAATTAAGCTTAGAATTAAATTTCTTTTGACTCTGAGAGATTTAACAAGTCTCTTTAGTGGAGACCATGAATGCACTCCTTGAGAAATTTAAAACAGGTATACATTATTACTCTGTGCAGGATATTTCCAAAGAAAAGCAACTTCAAAATTGCAGATGTGCTGGCTAAACTTTAACAGTCTGTTCTCTCAGGAGCAAAAAGGTTCTGCTTTGTAGCACTTGCCAATTCTACAGAGTACTCTCACCATATCCAATTTCAGACTAACACCATGATTTCACTAACCATGGAATTGGAAAGAGTTGTGCACCAAAAGCTTGTGGGGGCAGGCTTTTGTGAGCAGGTCGGCCTTGCATGGTCATACATTATCTTTTTTCATTACTCCATTGGTACCCTGTTAATAAGTTAGCACAACTATGATAGTTTACAGTCTTTTGTGGAGAAGTACATAGTTAAGTCTATGTGAAGGAATGCTTGTTTTTCCTCTACTCAACAATTTAGAATTTCTGAAGAATGTTTGGGACATCAATAATGAATATTGGCCATTTCCGTTTTGATTATTAACAAATGGCAGTTTAAGAGTTCCCAGGAAAAACTCACTCTCCCGCCCTCAGCTTATTCAGAGGCAACTGGGTGTAATATGGTGTTAGGAGAGTACTTGAAGAGCTATTATAACTTTTTTGAGTATATAAAATGTGCCCAAGTCTCTTAATTTCTCAGAATGAGGCTTTGCCTGGGACATTGACTCCCATGGTGGGAAATTGATTATAAAATGAGTTCTGCTGTTATGGTTGTTTTGAAAATGTTGATTTGTTCCATTAATATTGATATATTAAGGAACAACGTGTGCATACTGCAATTTTTTATTTTCCTCTGTTGAATTTTATCCATAAGAAACACAGGGTGAACACAGAAAAGCGCATGCTGCCCAACCAACTCTGATAGGCACACTTGAAATGCATGTGCACACGTACGCCTCAAACAGTTCACTGCCTGTATTAGAAGCTACACCTCTCCATCCAGTGTTACAACTGTCAGATTTCTCATAGTTCTCTTTCTATCACTACTCAGCTACCAACCTTCCTGCACCCATCAAGCTTTAGATCTTTTTATAGGAAATATGTCACATTTATTGCAGAACAAATGCATTTCTTAATAACATAGCACCTATAAAAATGTGCTACTATTTTTGTAAGTACCTTTTTTTTTTTAAATGAGAGTCACAGATGATGTGTGTGATATTGTTGTGTCCCTCATCCCATTTTCCCATAAGCCCTTTGGTAAACTTTTTGGTGCTATAGGAATACATATGTTGTACTATAATAGAACTGACCATCTTAACAAAATATTCTAAATTTTTTCAGCCAATTTGGTGCTATCCTAATTTACAGGACTTCAATAGCCCATAAGCCATGGTCACATGAAGAAAGGTGATCTGACAGATGTAATAGCTGACAAGTCTACATGCCTTCCTCTTTTAAGAATCTGTAATTTTTCTGAATTATAAATCAAAAAAGATATAATCTGATTCAGGTCAAAAGTTAAAAATGCAACTTTCATCATTAATTTCTCTTGGGATGTACAAGACATTTAACATTTACAACTGAAATATGAACATATCAGATAACATACCTTCTGTTTCTTGCATTCACTTCACTATATAAAACATAATTGGAATACAGAAAATGCTAATTGCCACCAGCTGTTTAATCACCTTGATTTAATCTCATTTTCCCAGTGCAAATAAACATGATGCTTCTAGGCCTTAAAGAGAGCTTCACATACCTTCTGTTTTATGACTTGGGGAAGACGAGTCACAGACTCCGCCCAGTCGGAGTACCGCCTTTTGTTACCAGCAGGATTGTCCAGCTGTAGGAAACTAAGGCCAGCTATGAAGCCGGGACCTCCCCCTCTGACAAATGGGACTCCTCGCAACACATTGTTCTGGTTTCCTACACAGGAGAAATCAAGCAAAATAAATCTGTGTGCACAAACAAAATGAGAATGAGAATGTAAAAGTGAAAAGTCTGCCAAATATTTTTAAAAATTGATCCCACTGTATATCATTCTGGGTAAAGCAAAATCATGAAGATAGTCAAAAGACATGTGGTAGCCAGGAGCAAAGGAGTGAAGATCAGAAAAAGTACAGGTTTTTAGGGCAATGAAACTATCCTACACAGTACTACAAGGATAGATACATGCATTGTGCCTTTGTCCAAACCCATAAAATGTACAACACCAAGAGCAAATCCTCGTGTTAATTAGTGTTGAGTGGTAATGATGTGTCAGTGTAAATCCACCAGTATTAACAAATGCTCCACTCTAGGGGAGATACAAATGGTGGAAGAGACTGCATGTGTTGGTGGGCAGGCAAATCTCTGTACTTTTCTCTCAGTTGTGCTATGAACCTAAAAGTGTTCTAAGAAATGAGATATTTTAAAGGAAAAAAAAAGACAAAAATTCCATTGTCGAGTAAATAAAATGAGAAAATTGTTAACTTTTTCAATGTTCTTAGCATAATAGAAGTATAACATCTTTGGCAGGAGAAGGTCTTTCTTAGAAGATACACGTGCATATTAAAGGATTTAAGTATAATGGTGTCTGAAACTTACCTTCATATGGTTCATCAAATATTAGAAACATTTTAAATACATGACATTTACATACTGTAAATAATCAGTCAAGATCATACATATTATACGTTTCTATATATACTTAAGATACACATATACATAGGAAATGTCAAAATAATAATTGTTAAATATAGGACATATATACCGGTATTAATTACTATGTTCTTCAAACTTTCCTATATGTATGAAAATTGATATAATAAAATATAAGAAACAAAATAGTCTTGTGTCTCATATGTTAGCAATGAAAAAAACAAAAAAAAAATGTTATTTAACAGGAATACATTACCTAACACATGAAAACTGTTCTGAAAGTTTGAATGCTAATTTCCATGTATGTACCTTATACTTTCAAAAATATTTTATCTATTTCTAATTGAATTTTACACAAGCTATCACTAGAATTCTTAATCTTATAAATCAGATTTTGAGTGGTTTCCATTTCCTTTCCTGTAGCTGTCCAAATTTTGCAATTTCATAAGTATATTGTACCTTTAAAATGAGAAATTATTAAAACCTGATATTTTAAATAAATTACTGGAGTGCTTCCTCAGTTTAATTGTTAATTATATTTTTCATATGTAAATAGTCACACTTTTTATGCAACATATCACAAAGTCCAGAGTTACTGAGTCAAAACCACTGGGTGACTACAAATTTCCAAGTCCCAACCAAGAACTATGAGAGAATGTTTGAGAGAATAAGCCCTAGAATCAGCATTTCAGCAGGCTCCACCTAGTGCTCCTCATGCATACTAAAGTTGGAGAATCATTGTCTTAATAGACACACCTATTTAAGAACTACACCCTAAGAATATAATTGGGGGGGGGGGGCTTTTTTATGTTATTTTTAAGCCTGTCCCCTTCTTCACATCCCAGGGAGCCCTGAGCTCTGGCTAAATCCTTTCCCCTAGAAAAGGCAGCAGAGTGCAACTGATTTTTATTAGCTCTGATCTTGAGCAACTTTTCTATGTCACAGTGTCCCTGGCTATAAAATGGAAATATTAGTACTACTTACCTCTTAGATAGGATAATTATGTTGGTTACTATGTGGAGATCATTTAAAATCATGCTGAGCTTATAGAAGTGCTATGTGTTAAATACAAAATAAGTGCTATTTTGTTAAATACAAAATAATAAAATAAAATCAACAAGCAGCTTCCAATTTGTCACCCAGCTAATAACTACCGTCAACATCTTCCCAAAGCTTCAACTTTCACGTTTTCTATGTCCAGGACATTATTTTTCCACTTCATTCAAAAATTTCCCTTCTTGTGTCACATCACCTCCCTGAAGAGGAGCACTTTCTCTGGCATGTTCACTACTGTATCCCCAGTAACTAGAACAATTTCTGGCACATCCTAGAGACTCCATAAATAGCTGGGGAATAAAGCAAATGAGTGTGTACATAAACCTGGTTTTACTACTGTCTCCCTCCTTCTTGCAGTCTTCTAAATTCATCCTGATAACCTTGTTTCCTTGATGACAATAATGGCACCTGGGTCAGTCTTCACTTTCACCCCAATTTCTGCCATCACTCAAGAAGTATTTAAGACCTAATGCTGCTGGATCCATGGTCTCACACAATGCACTGCTGTCTCACTTCTATTTCTTGAACATTACAGAATCACTTCCTTTTAGAGAAACAAAGTCTTCACCTCCAAATCCAATGGTCAGGCTTCAGTTCTTACCTTACTTCTCTTAGAGAGAAGCATTTCATATTCTCCCTCTCTCTCTCTCTCTCTCTCTCTCTCCTCCACCCCTCCTTCACTTTCCATCTCACCTGTTCCTTTTCTTAACAGATCATTTTTTCTCTATCCCCCTTCTTTTTTCAACGACTTTTCCTACGTAATCCTTCACTAACTTACTCCCTGTATTAAATCTTTTCATGGTACCCAATAGCCATTAAGATGGAATCCTTATACCTACACAGTCTTCATCAATTTGCCTCCCAGTTCCTTCTGCAATCACTCAAAGATTGGCACACCACTTTCTTCACCCTTCCCATCATGACAAGCATGCACCAAAAACCTTAACTGGATTTATAACATATCTTTATCATAAAGTAGAATTAAATCTTACCCTGATACTGTAACTTTTCTAGACTTGTTTGCCAACCATTGTAGGAGAAGAAATGATGTACACTGGAAACACATTTACAATACAGAGTAGATACCCACCTTGCATGACATCTCACTTTCATGACATATGAAAAGGAGAGCAAAAGCAAAAATATCCAAATAGATGAAAAACAAAAAGTAGAACACCTGCTAACACTTCAAAAGCCCATGCAGACCAAGAATTAACAAGAGAAAAGAGAGAGAGAGCAGGCTTGTAATGCAGATTGCTCCCTTCTCATTTACCTGAACCCAATTTTAGAGAGTCTTCCAGTTCCTTGCATTCTTGCTCTGATGATTCAAAGAGAAAATGAAAATCTGAAGAAGTACATGTCGTATGTTCTAACAAAACAGAACCTGGGCAGGGGAATGCAAAAAGAATGTGTTTAGTTTTTGCCCTCACTGAAGGACTCCTTTGGTGGTCAAGGTGTTGGGCTGGGGATAAGAGGTTGTTTCCTGCTATGGTACCCATTTAATCAAGAGTGACATGATGTGTACATTTTCAACTACTCTAACAGGTTAAAGTTCAGAAAGAGGATATTTAGGTTTTGGCACTTGCTTTCTTTTAGCTTTGGCGGGAGAAAGGAAGAAGTCGGAGTAATCTCCGCAAGAAACAGTAGAGGCAGCAGAAATGGAAAACCTCAAATGAATGATATCTTTTCCCCTGTCACATTCAGCTTCTCAGGCATAAAACACATGGATAAACATAGGAGTATGTTGGGTTCTAATCCATGGACTGGAAACTTCAAAGGCTGGATTATGGTTCTGTACTAGTTAATTCTTAGCACTCTGTTTCTACTAACTCAGCTTCTCCATCTTTATCATTTGTGGTTCTTAACTTCTTTCCATAACTCATAACCTTAGAAAGTGACAATTTCTACTCATTATCAAATAGATCAAATGTGGTTTTGTCAATTAGTTTTTTAAAGTAGGATAGTAAAGGATAAAATTTGGAAAAATGTTTTCCTCATATAATCTTGATATAATTTTAATAGCTATATTAGACGAGCCTCAATATTTCTTTTCTTCCCTTTTTTCCTTTTTTTTCTGCTTGCAAGACAAATGCTCCACTAAGCTACATCCCAGCCAAGCCTCAATTTTTTGTTTTATTTTTTATTTTATTATTTTTCTATTTATTTGTGGTATTAGAGATTAAACTCTAGGGCACTCTACCACTTAGTCACATCTGCAGCCCTTTTCATTTTATTTTAAGACAGGGTCTTACTAAGTTTCCCAGGCTGATTTCAAATTTGCCATGCTCCTGCCTCAGTCTCCTGAATAGTTTTCATTACAGGCATAAGCATTTGTTAAAGAACAGTTGGGAACATGGATAACATCCACAAGTTTTTAGTATATTTAATTTAGAACTTTAAGAAAATAAATGGAAACATTTTACTTAAAATTTTACTAATGTGGGAGCTTTTTATTTAAAAATCTCCATTTCTTTTAAGCACTATAAAACTGAAATAGGGAAACTGAATTTAGGTCAATCCTTTGATGGACTGATTATCCAAAAAAAATAATACCTCTGTCTTTGCTATAAAAACCCATGCTTGTGCATTCGTTTTAAACCTGTGAAATTAGAAAAGTACAAATTCTAGTTAAATTTTATCTGACAGAGAACTACAAAAAAAATCCAGTATAAACAGGAAAATATTATACTTTTCATATGAAAAATGCTACAAAACTTCTTCTGAGTCTCATGCAAGAAGTCTTACTCTTCTCCAAGGTTATAACAGAATCTTTTTTTTTCTTTTTTGTAGTTGTAGATGGACAGCATGAATATTTTATTTGTTTATTTTTATTTGGTGTTGAGGATCGAACCCAGTGCCTCACACATGCAAGGCAAGCACTCTGCCACTGAGCCACAGTCCCAGTCCTAATAACAGAATATTTATTAAGGGAAAGAACCTGAAAAGGTATTTTTGGAATCAAAAAGGAAGTATGGGCATCAACTAAAGGACAAAGTCAGGAAAGGAGGTTTGACTTGGAACATTAGTAAGCCAAGATCACAAGGTCTCCGGAGAGGAGCCACAGATGTGAAGACACCAATCCCACATCTGAGCAGATGGTAGGGATTGTCCTATCAATGTGAGTCCACAAAGCATGAATTCAGTAGCAGGTCTTGCTTCTCACAAAAACCAGGCCATGTAGTAGCAACATAGTTAGGAAGTAAGCTAAGCTGACTGGGAAGCCAGTTACTGGGTTTAAATACCCTTCTTATTCATACCCTTGAATGAGTCACATCATAGCATGGAGTCTCCATGGGACAGGCATCAGAGTGCCTATCTCACTGGGTAGTAGTATTATTGGTAACCCAAAACTCACTTTTCCTGAGAAGGCATCCAATGAATTAAGCTACTGTTTCAAGTATTATATAGCAAGCAAACCTGTGGTAGTGAAGATTTTTTAAAGGACTTGTGATAAAGAACAGAAGTAAATAAAATTCTTCTTTAAAACATTTAGATTCCTAGAATATCAGTAAATTCCTCATTCATTTTTTCCTCAAGAAATACGGTTTAATCTGAGAAACAGGAAAGATTATATTCTAAACCAACACTCCCTGGAGATAATCCATAATGATAATGATTGACTCGGAGTATTATTTAAAAGATATAAGCAGAAATTTTTTAAACCATGTGAGATTTTGAATAGAAAGTAATGTATTCTTGTAATTAAATTTTAAAGCTCAAAAGTTTAAGTTAACTACATGTTATTTCTCCATTAAAATCCCTTAAATGCTTTTAGATAACATTTTTTTAATACTGTACCACTCTGTTTGACTTTTCCGAAGTCCACATAAAATAGAACTCTGTATTCTCCTCCTAAGGATCCAGACTGCAGGTAATGTGTCCCATACTGATCAATTAATCTTCGGTAAGCACTGTAGTCATACACAGAGGGAAGGTGGGAAAGTTCCTTCCAGAATGGCTCAGCAAGTTGTAAAAATTCTGGATTGTTGTTAATGAACTGAGCCACTTCAACAGTGTTCTGAATAACCAATAATTGATAACTCTATAAGGAGAGGAAAGAGTAAAAGCAGTTTTAAGTGGAATGTTAAAAAATCATTCCCTATCCAATATCTCCATCACCTGCAACCTCCAATTAACTAAGATAAATTTTTCTATATGTACATGAGGAGGTCTCTTCTGGGCCCTCCCTCATGAAGCAATCTGAGCAATTTTGAAGTCCCAAATAAGAATAATACCTGGGTGACACCATGATAACTCATTTTACGCATGACTTCCAAAACCCCAAGATCAAGTTACTATGCCCTCCTCAACTAAGAAAAAAGAATCAAGTTCACCAACTGCTCAACAATCTTATAAATAAGCATATAAAATAATGTGTTCCTAGGGTCCACACCTTGACCATGACTTACAGGTATGATGACTGTATGTTTATCTCTCAGACAGAGTATTGACAAATAAAGTTACTTTACAACAGATCTTTCAAACACTTCCTAAGCATTTCTTTTTTAACAATACCCAAGATGTTGGATACCTTATATCAAATTCCCACTGTGTGAAAAATGTAATAATATGGAGATGGTAAATATTTTTAACAGTTCACATTATCATACCTCCTTAGTTAATAAAATAAATAAAATCAGCATTCCTGTTAACTTTCTTGTATGATTTATTAACCAAACTACTGGCTCTAAGGGTGAGATAAAATGTGTGGATTGTGAAAGTGATCAACCTGATAAATTCTTCTACTAATCTATCAATTAGTACAATTCATTTCAACTGCTCAATATGAAAGTTTTTGTATCTCAAAACAACAAAGATTTTAAAAGTAAGTCTTATAATCCTCAAATAATAAGAATTTTGGTATTTCAAAAGTAATAAAATATTTTAAGAATCTTCATATACCTTCTAAAAATTCTCTGTCAATAGCAAAAGCATTTATGGATTTTTTTACACTGTATATAACACTTAAAATAGTAACATCAGTAATCATGAATGAGATATTTAGGATAGTTTAAAATAGAAGATTTTGAGATAAGTTTTTTAAGATTTTCAAATAAGAACAAACAGTTTAACGAGAAAACAAGAATACAAATACATATATTGTCAAAGAGAATTAATAAGACAGCATTATACCTTTAAAGAAATTTGTTGTACTGTCTCCTAAAGAAATGCTATTGCCTTAATTAAATAGGAAAACTGATCATTTCATAAATGCACTTTGCAAATATCAGCAATACCTAAAACTGGAAAAATATGGAAAAGTTAGCTGATATTTCATACTAACCTTTTTCTTATAGATTTCATTGAAATTTGACTTATAACTGTGTGAAGCAGATGATGAAGAATGAAAAAAGGAAGAGCTCTCACTGGAAGATGTATGTTCTTCAGATGTTTGTTTTACATAAGACCAACTACTGTTGTAAAATTCATAATTAAAATCATTATTTACTTTCACCTACAAAGAAAATAAAGAAAAAATGCTATGACCAAATTAAGGTCTTGGATATACCCAAGATACTTTTGTCATAGGTCCTTTAACATGGATGCTTTCTTCATACAATCTTTTGAAAAGAACAAGCTTTGCATTGATCCAAACCAACTGTGGTTCTCACTAAGATCAGCCCAGTGTGAGTAAATAGGCAAGAGATCATTCCATAATTACACTTTATGAAGAAAGAGACATGGCATCAATGATGGCAAACCCAAGCGATTCACAAAACACATTTGTGTACACACATCTTTCATTTTCCATGAATGTCAGCATTCCTAAAAGTGAGCAAATTTCCACAACTACACTAGCAGAGAATCACAGGCATTTGGCTCTTGGTTTTCCACCTAATAGGAACAGATACAAAAAGGTGATATGAACAATTAGATCATAGGGACTTTGTTTTGGAATGTTCTATGTGAAATGATAGTGGAGTTAACTTTCTATTTGACTTAAAAGAATGCTAAAATTCGATAGTATTTCCTGGGCTAAATGACATGAAATAAGGACATCCTAAAGAATTTTAAAGCCAATCATAGGTTAGTTACACTTGGCTGATAAGTAATAGTGCCAGCTTTCATAGTGGTGACAATTATACATTTATCCTAAATTTCACATTACATTAAGTGTGAAAATGAAATGCCCACAAGGGCCAGCAAGTATTATAATTATTGGACACTTCTAGAGGGAGTCTTAGTAGTAAAAAAGTGAGCACATATCCTGTCTAAAAGGGACACCCATTAATTGAACCCATCAGATGATCACACCATCTGACAACTAGCTCGAGTACTGACAGAGTGGCTGACTTTGTTTCAAGAGAATACTTACCTAAAAATCTCTTATTTTTTGAAATTATAAGCAACAGATTTGCTAAAAATGCCAAACTTCATGAGAATAAAACAAAACATGCAAGGAGACACCCTCTCACGATGTCTATTCTTTACAAATATTTAGACTAGGAACTCTCCTTCCACTCCCATTTGCATTTTTATTATATGTCTGCACACATCTCTGTTTGAGACCAAACCACAAGTAAGCATAGAGAAAATAGAAAAGATGGATATGATACAGTTTTTAAAAAACTAAAAGGAAAGAAAATTACAGAATAGAATACAATCATCCTAAATAATGCATGTGCAGACAAAATACTCATACTGTTGTATTAAATGAGACAGGAGATGTAAACGTGAAAACCCTATTAACTCTAACCATGCAAGTATATCCCTAGTCAAAAAAAAAAAAAGACTAGAAGAAAATAAGCCAAAATGCAACAAAATAGTATATGACTTTTACCACATATTGAAAATCATGCATATTTATCAAAATGATGAAAAATAAGATGGATCTAATCAGAATTTTTATAGCATCATTTTTATTATAGTATGAAACTGGGTTGTTAAAAAAATCACAAAAATTCAACTCAGGCCAAAATGGATACTATATACTGCTCATTTATTTTGATTGATAAAAAGAAGGCATTATTCAAAGTTTTATTAGAAATTTTTACAGTCACTAGATAGTATCTCAGTACAATTTGGTTCTGGAGAGACATAAAATTTAACTTTTTATAGCTTTTGAGAGAGACATATCATCTATCTCACTTCTGAAGGGAAAAAAAGGCCTCTTTTTCCCTATCTTTAGATCCAAAATCAAATATTTGATTCCTTTGGACTGGGGTACAACTCAGTGGTGTGCACTTGCCTGGCTAAAGCAAAGCAAAAAAAAAAAAAAAAAAAAATTTGATTCCTGATACATTTAAATGAGCTTCTTGGCTGCTTTAGTGCATCATCTCCTGACTCCCATCTACCCCGTGCACAGCTGCAGGAACCATCTTTTCAAGGTAGTGTGGTCTTCCTAAGTTTTCTTTAACTAATACTCTTCTTCTTCCATCTTAGGTCCTAAATTCTCCTAGGCTAATCTGTTCTCTGAAATCACCAATTCAAGCATCCAACACTCTAATGTTCCTTAATCTTTCACTCTCATTTTGTTATTGCCACATCTGCTATTTAATTCTTAGAGATGTGTTCTTTGACTCATTCTCCCTTCTATCAGCATTTTCTACTTTTTACTTTCTTCTTGTTTCAGCTTAATCTTCACGGTTCTTTCCCAATCGTGGTCTTCTCCTTCTAAACCTTCTAAACACATTGAATTGTATGTTTCTTTAGCCATTGGTTCATGTGGAAAACGCATTCATGTCCCTGATTGCTGGCTCTCCATCATCCTCCATCATTCACCAGGCTTCCACAAGCCACTTCTGCTTCCCTTAAGGGTTAGCACTACCGTTCAGGGACCAGGTTTCTTTCTTCAGGTCTGCCACCCTCCAATCCATTCTACACTCTCCAAAAGAGTGGTATAAAATTCCCTTCTTAAACTCTCCAATGGCTATTTGGTAACCCAAACTGCTTACCTCACCTGAAAAAAAAATCTTTTTTTTTTTTTTTTTACTTTCCTGATCACTCAAAACCTCGTTTCCTGCAACTCCTCACACTTCACTCTGGAATATAGTCAGTTTGAACTTCTTTCAATTACTCTGAAGTGCCCTTCCTTCTCTCTTGCTCTTTCTTCACCTCATTACTCTCCTTCTCCTTCTTTTGCTCTCTTTTTAAATATAGACAATGTATAGACATGTAGATATATTATAGGTGTTTATATTATAAGTATGTACATATAGATACAGAGAATCGATACATAGAGATACATAGCCTATAAATGTAGTATCGGAGCCAGACTTCTATAATTCAACCCTGATGTTTGTCATCTGCTCGTAAGACCATGGATAAGCTATTTAACATTTATTTGCCTCAATTTCCTCATCTATGAAATAAGAAACAGCTTTCTGGTTTCTAGTTTCAGATTTTCTTCCTTAACTGTATCTACTCGTGCAGAGAGATCTTCAAGTATGTGTTAGAGTTCCAACACTTGATAAATAAATCATGTTTTTTTTTTTTTTTCAAAAAAAGAAAGAAACAGCAATACCACCTTCTTGGGTTGTTACAGATTGAGTACCCTTTATCCAAACTGTTTGGAATGAAAAGTGTTTTGGATTTCAAATTTTTTTGAATTTTGGAATGTTTTCATATATATAGTGAGATACTTGGGTATGGGACAAGCCTGAGCACAAAGTTTTTCTGTGTTTCACATGTACCTTGTACATATGGCCTGAAGGTAAATTTAAACAATATTTGTAATAATTTCATGCATAAAACAAAGTTTCATGTTGTGGAATTTTCCTTATGTTGTTTCATGTCATTGCTCAAAAGGTTTCATATTTTAGAGCATTTCAAATTTTGGATTTTCAGATGAGGGATGATCAACCTGTACAAGAAGAAAAGATGTGAAGCTCTCAGAACACAGCTTATTAGTGTACATTTCTTAAATGTAAGCTATTTTTATCATCACCCAAATTATTTCCAGTCAAAAGGTAGATTTAGAAATCTCAGGTATGTAGTCCTCAGGGAAGCAGCAGAGGCTCCGATAATTTAGCATTAGTGAAAACTGCATTTATAATATGTTTTTGTTATTCATTTGATATACAAATGGGATCTCCAAAAAATATCACAAAGTGAGGCTAGGGGTGTGGCTCAGTGGTAGAGAGCTTGCATAGCATGTATGAGGCCCTGGGTTTGGTTTTCAGCACCACATATAAATAAATGAGTAAAATAAAGGTCCATCAACATCTGGAAACATTTTTTTAAAAAGTCACAAAGTACATTCATGATCAAATGCAGAAGAACCCATGACGTGAGTCCAGCATAGTTTTTAATGCACTTGCATCTGCAATGAACATCACAGTCTTTCACCTATCTCCCAGACTAGCTGCACAGAGAGGCACCTTCCCAAGTAGCCATCAGGTTTACGTTTCAAAGTTCTTCCTTGTTGCATGGAAAGTATGAATAAGCAGAGAACGTGCATGACATCAAACTCTGTGGCTTACTCAAAAAGAAACAAGGTATGCCATAAAGAGGCTACAATGCTAATCACCCAGAGATTGTAAGAGAGACCAACTCATTCTGCTTTATGTTTATTTAGAGACCTGTGTGTTGCAATAAGTCAAAGTCCCTTCTACCTTGCAGAGAGCTGAACATCCAGTGAGCCCAGGTCATTGCATTTGAGCTATGGAGGATATGCACCACTTCCATGTCCACATTGGGGTTTAGCCCTCGGATGACTGGTTCACAGCCTGTTGCTTCCACCCCACTTCCCTCAGGCTGGATCCTCAAAACATCGCTATTCCTCACTCAATAACAGGCTATAATTTCTGTCTACTTCTGACAAACACCTTCACATTCAGTGAGTAGAAAGGCATTTCAGATGTCAATCCAAAAACCAAGCCCTGCTGAGGAAAATGAATGTCAAGACCAGGCTGTTATTAAATTATTCATCTTCTTCAGAAGCTGCAGACTCCTAATATGTCTACCTCCCAACTAAATCAGAAATACACATGCTCCTTATTGCCTCTGCTTTGGAACTTTCTAAATTTGACCCTTGAGAAAATTCACATGCAATTTGTCCCCCTTTATAATTATGAAAGAATTAGCAGCACATCCCCCTAAGAATAGAGGAAGAAAAATTATCAACACGTACGTATCTCGTGTTCTCTCTTCTGGTCAAAGTTTAAATTACAATACTTATTATTCCCCAAATAGAATTTAGAATAGAAAAAGAAATTAAGTGCAGTACATGAAGAGGGTGAAAGGTAATAGAAAAATAAAAAGTTGCAAAATATGACAGACTAGATCCAAGGCCTACTAACTGTTAATTTGGTGATGTGGAGGAAATTGGCTGAAGTCCTTTGAGCCTCAATTTCTACATATATAAAATAGTAAAACATACTTCTCTTCAAAGATATTGTAAAGATTAAATCTATACCAACTTCCTAAGATAGAGCAGATGCCACAGCAGATATTCAAAAATTGGTAGATACAGTTATACTTTGATCAATTTTATTTCATTTTCATGATTCAACA